CGTTGTATTTGACAGCACCTTGGTTAATAGAAGAAACAGTTAATGTGTTTCGTTGTATTTGACAGCACCTTGGTTAATAGAAGAAGCAGTTAATGTGTTTTTTGTATTTGACAGCACCTTGGTTAATAGAAGAAACAGTTAATGTGTTTCGTTGTATTTGACAGCACCTTGGTTAATAGAAGAAACAGTTAATGTGTTTCGTTGTATTTGACAGCACCTTGGTTAATAGAAGAAGCAGTTAATGTATTTCGTTGTATTTGACAACACCTTGGTTAATAGAAGAAGCAGTTAATGTATTTTGTTGTATTTGACAGCACCTTGGATAATAGAAGAAGCAGTTAATGTGTTTTGTTGTATTTGACAGCACCTTGGTTAATAGAAGAAGCAGTTAATGTGTTTCGTTGTATTTGACAGCACCTTGGTTAATAGAAGAAACAGTTAACGTGTTTTGTTGTATTTGACAGCACCTTGGTTAATAGAAGAAGCAATTAATGTGTTTTGTTGTATTTGACAGCATCTTGGTTAATAGAAGAAACAGTTAACGTGTTTTGTTGTATTTGACAGCACCTTGGTTAATAGAAGAAACAGTTGATGTGTTTTGTTGTATTTGACAGCACCTCGGTTAATAGAAGAAGCAGTTAATGTGTTTTGTTGTATTTGACAGCAACCTTGGTTAACAGAAGAAGCAGTTAATGTGTTTTGTTGTATTTGACAGCACCTTGGTTAATAGAAGAAGCAGTTAATGTGTTTTGTTGTATTTGACAGCACCTTGGTCAGTAGAAAAACCAGTTACCGTGTTTTGTTATATTTTGCATCACCTTGGTTAGGAGAAGAACTAGTTAATTGGCTTTGTTATACTTGACAGCATCTTAGTCAGGATAAGAAATAGTTAAAGTGTTTTGTTATATTTTACAGCACCTTGGTTAAGGGAAGAATCAGTTAAAAGTGTTTTTTTATGTTTTACAGCACCTTGGTTTGGAGAAAAACTAGTTAATGGGTTTTGTTATACTTGACATACTGTGGTCAGTAGAACAACCAGTTACCGTGTTTTGTTATATTTGGCAGCACCTTGGTTAAGAGAAGAAACAGTTAATGTGTTTTGTTGTATTTGACAGCACCTTGGTTAATAGAAGAAGCAGTTAATGTGTTTTGTTGTATTTGACAGCACCTTGGTTAATAGAAGAAGCAGTTAATGTGTTTTTTTGTATTTGACAGCACCTTGGTTAGGAGAAGAAGCAGTTAATGTGTTTTTTTGTATTTG